GATGGAATATCCCTATTTTTTTGTTTAAAGATAATAAACTTGGTCTTATCCACATTTATTTTCAATTTATTGAATGTTAGCCAATTAAAATAAACACCAAGATCATCATTTATTAAAGTTTCTAGGTCTACTCCATCTTCTTCCTCATAAGCAAGTACAGTATCGTCTGCAAACGTGTAGTATCGCCCCCTCAAATTTGCCAATTGTAAACTAAGAACATACAGTATATAAAAAAGTGGTCCCAGGACAGAGCCCTGTGGAACTCCAAATCTACTTGACTGTCTATCACTTTGACTGTGCCCCAACTTCACGTACTGATGTCTGTCAGTTAGGTAAGAGCTTATCAACCTATACACTGCACCCCTAAATCCCAATTGGTGTAGCTTTCCTAACAAAATATCAATACTTACTACATCGAACGCTTTTTTTAAATCAATAAAAATTGCTACCAGCACCTTTTTTCCGTCCACACCTTTGGCTATTTTATTTACCAGATCAAACATAGCACATGAAGTATTGCTATTTTTTATGAATCCATATTGATAGTCATCAAGCAGATTATGCTCGTTTACAAATGAAAGTATTCTGTGTTTCACTATAGTTTCAATCACTTTTGAGAGAGATGAAATTACTGAAATTGGGCGTTAATTATTCATATTTTCCTTTGAACCTGCTTTAAATATAGGGGTAATTTTGCATATTTTTAGCTCATCCGGAAATACACCCGTCTCTAGAACATTATTTATCAATTCAACTAATACTGGAGTAAGTATGCTTCTAAGATTGAATAAATCACATACAGATATTTGATCATGGTCAGGTGCAAAGTTCTTTTTTAGGTCTAAAATAATTTTATGTCTGATTGACCAATAAAGTGCTATTTATAGAACAGTTTTGCGTCAATAAAGTAGCACTTTATTGTACTAGTAAAATAAAATGCTACTTTATTTTACTAGTAAAATAAAATGCTACTTTATTGCCTACCTGGACTACCTGATAACCGCCCAAGTGAAACAGGCCCTGACAACCTGCCAAAGTGAAACGCGAATTTTAATTTTTTCATTGAATTTTTTCGATTTTTAACAAAAACCAGTCGCAATCGTACATAAAATCATGTAACGCTTACATAAACAGGCTTTATTGACTCATTATATTTAATAGCCTCGCTCGCAAGCTCGCTCGGCCATGAAATTATTCGTACAATAAAGCCTTAGTTTATGTATACTTGTTATATAAATAGCTATTATTTACTTCTATCTCGTTTGTCAAATCTAATATCAAGTTCGCACCACAAAAAATATCCCTGAACATAATGTCATTGTTAACGTTTTGATTATTGATTTTGTTTATCTCACCTACAATATTTTCACCTACGCTACTGAAATATTCGTTTATACAATTTGCAATACTCAACTCATCTTTTATGATTATACCATTAACATTCAGAGATTGTAACTTATTTTCAGACTTTTTATTTTTAATAAAGCCGTTTATGAATCTCCATTGTTTTTTGATATCACCCCCTGTTTGATCCCACTTATCCTTGAAATATTTATTTTTTATTGATTTTATTTTATTTGTGACTCTATTTTTTGCATATTTAAACTGATTTTTAATATTAATATCATCCCTGTTTGCTACTAATTTATCATATAATCTATCTCGTTCCCTTATCATTGTTATCACCTCATCACTAATCCACATATTATTTTCATGTAACTTAACAATTCTACTATAAGTACAACCATCTTTACATTGTTGAATATAATATCTATAAGCTGCTGGAAGGAAGCAACATTGTGCCCTCTTATTTGTTGTTCAAGTGACATCTTAAACCTTTTATGGTCTACATGTTTGCTTTCGTACGAACATTTCTTTCTGTGTTTCTTTATAGGTTGTTTAATTGTAATATGTAACCGTTTGTGATCAGAAATTGAGTTATTTTGCACTAAGATTGAACAAGTATTTTGTGTCTGGTGGCAAGTTACCGGATGATCGATTATGCTGGCTGTATTTAGGGTTACACGAGTTGCATGTTCAATTCTAATATTATTTTTTACGTGATAATTATGGAGTGATAATCTTTGTACATTCTAACATTGTTACCCTGACTATCAAGTAAATTTATGTTGATATCCCCTATTGCTATATGATTTTTTGGGTGTTTCACTAATATATTTTCAAAGCTATCCAAAAATTTGCCAATATCATAGGAAGGTGGTCTATAAACCGCAGTTAAACTAAGTTTATTAGCACCAACAGCAATAGTCAAGTAATTACAAATATCATCAATACATGACTTACTGAGTTCTTTGAATGGAATACCTTCTTTGACATATATTGCTACTCCACCCCCCCTTTTTTGCCGACAAGCGTGTACAGCACTAAAACCATCTATGTCATACCAACAAGTTTCAGAATCACACAGCCACGTTTCAACTAGAACTAAAATATCACATGGAATATTAATAACAAAGCATTGTACCTCTTCATATTTGCTTCTCAAGCTTTGGATGTTTAGATAATTCACATTTAGCTTCTCATTCCTAAATTTGCCAAGTTCTCCTCTCTCTCGATCATGACAACCTTGCTATTTTCTTCTTTTCGGAGGAGTATATTGCCATTGCCAAACCATGCATACTTATAGTTGTTCTCTTTTTTGAATATCTGGGGTCTTTTTGAGTAGGTCTAAGTTCATTTTTGTCAGGCCATGGTTTAAAAATACTGAGATAAGCCTGATACCCTAGATTTTTTGCATCTACCTAAGTGAAATCTCTTTGGCGATTTTATAAACATATTTTTTACGTCAGCACTTTCAAATATTACCTTGATGGGAGAATTAATGCTGCTTTGCTTGCTCAGACGAACAGCCCAAAATTTACAGTGCTGCTGATCAATTGACAGTTGTAGGCCTTGACCAAGTTTTTTCACAATTTCTTCAGTTTTTTCACCAGCCTTATAGGGAATACCATGTATGATCATGTTATTATTCAAGCCCTTTTGCTCCATTTTGTTCAGTTTGCTATTTATATCAATTATTTCTCGCTGCAACTTCTCATTTTCCTTTACTTGCTCCTTATATTTTAGGAACAGGTTCTCATACTTTTTATCCATTTGATGCAGTTTTTCCATCACATCAGCAAGGGTGTAATCTTTGTTTTTTTGGGAAGAGTTTTTGTTCGCCTATTAGTACCATGATTTTCACAATTATTGCAGTACCATACTTCCTTACTTCTTGACACCCTTTGATAAGCTTTTATCGTCATGCCTAGGCACTCTCGATGTTTCCATGTTTGACATTTGTCACAGAGCAGCCCGTCTTCATTGTCTTTGACATCCTCTATACAAATTTCGCATGTTTCCGATGTTTCCATTGTGTCAGTCATTTTGGCAACGCCGCTCACTTAGCCACGCCAAAATTGCAATCCAAGATTTTTGTACAATCCTGGTAATATCCAGTAATTTATTTGCTTCACAATGCGAGCCCAACAACAATACGCCCGTTGTGCACTATATTTACTATTTATTTCACAATATATTGATATAAATTCAACAAAAACACTGCACTCCACTCTGTAAACAAACAGAACCAGCCGATGTTGCCACATATATCTATTGCCACTATAAGTAGATGTGTAATTACAAAAGTTGTACAGTATTGGCTAAATTTTCAGAATCCATGGTCAGAAACAAAAATTGAATGTCAGAAATGTGAAATGTTGTATGTTTTCAGCTTTTTTCAAATTGGAGTACCTATGCAGTAGTCTAGTCTTATAAAAACAGGTAAAACAGGCTGCACTTAGTTGTACAGCATAACGCTATGTGACCAATTAACTAATCAACAACAACGCATGCCTTTACGCAACTGGAAGACAAAAAGCAAAAAAACAAGACAACAAGACACAACACAAACACGCACGAACGCCGGGGATTCCCCAAGGACTTTACTCTCGAAGCAGGGAAGCAGCGTTCTCATGAGAACGAAGGTTCTGTCTACGTCGTTCGTATTCATATTTCCATAACATTGACAATGACAGAACAATTGTTCTTATGAGAATGATGTTCCTCGGTTTCGAGAATAAAGTCCCAGTTAGGTTGAGTGCAGCGCCGCGGTCGATTGTTTCAATACAAATCACACCGAACTGATCGGAGTACTCGGGCAGACGTCGTTCAGAGGACACTCCTAGAAGTCCTAGCCCAAAGGTCACGTATGAAATTATTACTGTAACATTCTCATACAAGATTTTAATTTAAAAAATATCATAAAAAGCAGGTAAATGTGAAAAGTTAGGAGTTCTATGATTTCAAAATTTCAAATTTTTTCAGTGGAAAACAACCACACAAAAAATTCTTGAAAATCAATTTACAAAATCTCAATTAGAAGAAAAAAACAGCTTTGCACATTCTGATATTTTTCTAGAAAACTAATAAGGAGAGAATTTTGAAATTTCTGGTATGAAAAGAAGACAGTAAGGAACTCCTTATCTTGATGCTTCAAATTATTCCAAGAAGAAACAACAGCACAAAAGGTTTTTGAAAATCAACTTACAAAAACTCAAATAAAAAAAAACAGCTTCTCACATTCAGATATTTTTCTAGAAAACTAATAAAGAAAGAATTTTGAAGTTTCCGGTATGAAAAGAAAAGAAGAAACAATAGCACAAAAAGTCAATTCAACCAAATCGTACCTATAGTTCCTGTGGCATTGATGCTTATAGTAAATTCACAGGAGCAAAATCATTATTTTCCATTGTGTTTACGTTACAACCATCACATTAGTGAATATTGCACGACCCTAAACATGCGTTAGTTAATAAATTATTTGATAAACTCTAACTGCACTTGTACCTTTGGATTATTGAATAAACTACATTAGGGAGATTAGGCAGCGCACTACTATATTCTGAATTATAGATTGCATGGTAATTTTATCTTATATATACCTACATGCTAAATACCTACTATTGAAATGTGCTGGAACTGTTTAAATTTATAATTACCTGGCTGCTAGGTCTTTGTGCACGTACTTCATGGATTCTAAGTGTTTCATTCCAGATGCTATTTGAGTAGCCATGTAAATGAGACATCCATAACTAAAACGAAGAAATAGTAAGTATATAATTGCGCAACAAGTATTGAAAAGGGCTTTTCACACACTATACGTGTTCAAATTGGACCACCCTGTAGTAGGTACCTATCTATATTCAAAGTCTAAAGTACCTATAAACTAAATGTGGAAAAAGAATTACCTATCATATCATTTTAGAGTATGAAAAGTATTAACTTTTCGTACCTACGCTGTTCGAAATAATTATTGATTTTTTGTTTCGGATTTTCAATATTTGATATCTATTTTCGAGAAGTCGATTCCCGGCATCACTTAAAATTAATACACATCATTCTTCCACGACCTGATGATTACTAAATGACGATATTTTTGGTTTTTGAAAGAAGCATGAGTTCGATCCCCACATCAGGAACTTTTTTTTATTTATTTTTTCCAAAAAAAATCTAAAATTTCTTACCTTTAGGGCCAGTTTATTCACCTTCTGATAAATTGTCAGATATGCAATCTAAGGAATAAAAACGCAATCTGTTATCCCATTGATCAGCAAGTTATCCGCCGACCAATAGAATTATAGAACTGTACCTTTATCTTGCAGCAAGATTATCTGAAGATGAATAAACCAGGCCTTAATGAAACATCAATATATTAATTTATTAATTTTTTGCTTTCTTTATTATACAACTTAACTAAAGAAAACAAACAGAGGACTATAGAGATTGCGCTTTTAAATAGAATATACAAGTGACAATTTCAGCTCAGTTTCGGTGCAGTTTAATCTATCGTCCCCATGCAGAACCCCCAAACCCAAAAAGTCAAATAAACTTTGCGCGCTATTTAAATAGGCAGCTTAATTTATTTTCTTGCGGTCCTCCCGGGTATTTCGTAATAGAAATTGTTTCTGCAACAGTAAATAGGTTGAATGAGGTAGGAATGAAAAGTGAATTAATTCGTTTATTTTTTCAGCGTAGTAAGTAATCGAATTTGCAAACTCCTACCTCAATATGCTAGCGTTGCTAGCTACTGCGGACGTTGATTCCGCTACGTGATCTTGCAAAAATTGGCACAAATCTCCGTATTGTGCATATTCTCTGGCAGTGTAGTATGGAGGAGTTTCCAGGGAAGCTCCTAATAACACTGCCACGTTGCGATCTCTAAGTTTGGATAGCGAATTTACTTCCCTAGAAAGAAAAAAAAAAGTCAAAGTGAATACAAAAGCATAAAAAGTACTAAAATGATAAAATCTTTAAAAAAAGAACGTCACATAAATCGAAAAAATGGAAAATTCACTCCATATTACTTGACGGGGGAGTCTTGTATATTCCTGAAATGTTCAAAAATTTCTCAGCCATAATCGGTATGCTTATTTCAATATTTAACGCGATTTTATCTCTGGAACTATGAGTCGAAATGATTTGAAATTTTCAGGGATTATAGTTCTCCACTAGGATAAGATTCATTGGCAATTTCAGCTTTCTATCTATGAAAAAATTGGAGATAGATATGAGCTGTTTTCTCGCGTTCACTTTTTAAAAACTAATTCAAAACAGACTTGCAATAGTATGTTCTCGCGATGAATCCATGACGTCACTCAAAATTAGTTCAAACCGATTCGAAATACAATCCAATACTTACACGTTCTGAAACCATTTTCCTGCGCCGATTAGTTATGACGTCATGTGACACCAGTTTACTATGATTTTTTAAAATTTTCAAAAATACAAATCGTATAAGAATTTTCAAAATTCGTAGATTAGGATTAAATGGTCGTATTTACGTGCCTCTAAGGCAGTGACTCAGCCAGACATTTTGTTTGAGGGGGGCCATGGAGAAAAAATTATAGAAATATACACAGACTCACTATCCTTTAAGCTTTTTATAATATGAGCAGTTTATAGATTTTGTCTACTTCATTATTTTTCTAGGAAGCCCTGGAGGGAGGCCCAGACACTCTGCTCCCTCTCCCTAGCAACGCCACTGCAATGGTCTAATTTTTCATTTTTTTTCTGGAAATCTGGGAAACCTGGAGGAACCAAATATTTCTTTATTTTTTGGGAAGTTTTTAGCTTCAATATACTAAAATTTTATGGAAAAATAGCTCAACATAACGTAGCTATGATTTCTACAATCCAATAAAACATACTAAGTGATATTTCTGCCTTAGAGTCATTGGTGTAATTTTTGGTTTTTTTTTTTTTGGAAATCTGGGAAACCTGGAGGAGCCAGATATTTTTTTATGGAAGCTTTCAGTTTCAACATACTGAAATTTTATGGAAAAATAGCCCAAAATAACGAAGCTATGATTTTTACAATCCGATAAACACACTGAGTGATATTTCTGCCTTAGAGTCAATGGTCTAATTTTTGATTTTCTTCTGGAAATCTGGGAAACGTGGAAGAACCAAATATTTTTTTATTCACTAAAGAAGCTTTCAGCTTCAACATTCTAAAATTTTATGGAAAAATAGCCCCAAATAACGGAGCTATGATTTTTACAATCCGATAAAACACAGGAAGTAATATTTCTGTCTTAGAGTCAATGGTCTAATTTTTGATTTTTTTTTTGGAAATCTGGGAAACCTGGAGGAATCAGATATTTTTTTATTTATTAAGGAATCTTTCAGCTTCAACATTCTGAAATTTTTTGGAAAAATAGCCCAAGATAACGCAGCTATGATTTTCAAAATCCGATACTAGACACTGAGTGATATTTCTGCCTTAGAGTCAATGGACTAATTTTTGATTTTTTTTCTGGAAATCTGGGAAACCCAGAAGAACCAAATATTTTTGTATTCACTAAAGAAGCTTTCAGCTTCAACATTCTAAAATTTTATGGAAAAATAGCCCAGGATAACGGAGCTATGATTTTTACAATCCGATACTAGACACTGAGTGATATTTCTGCCTTAGAGTCAATTGTCTAATTTTTGATTTTTTCTCCGGCAATATGGAATACCTGGAAGAACCAAATATTTTTTTATTCACTAAAGAAGCTTACAGCTTCAACGTTCTAAAATTTTATGGAAAAAAGGCTCAGGATAACGGAGTTATGATTTTTACAATCTGATACTAAACACTGAGTGATATTTCTGCCTTAGAGTAAATAGTCTAATTTTTGATTTTTTTCTGGAAATCTGGGAAACCTGGAAGAACCAAATATTTTTTCATTCACTAAAGAAGCTTTCAACTTCAACATTCTAAAATTTTACGGAAAAATAGCCCAAGATAACGCAGCTATGATTTTTACAATCCGATACTAGACACTGAGTGATATTTCTGCTTAAGAGTCAATGGTCTAATTTTTGATTTTTTCTCCGGCAATATGGAAAACCTGGAAGAACCAAATTTTTTTTTTATTCACTAAAGAAGCTTGCAGCCCCGATACTAGACACTGAGTGATATTTGTGCCTTAGAGTCAATGGTCTAATTTTTGATTTTTTTCTGGAAATCTGGGATACTTGGAAGAACCAGATATTTTTTTATTTATTAGGGTAGTTTTTAGCTTCAACATACTAGGATATTATGGAAAAATAGCTCAGGATAACGGAGCTATGATTTTTACAATTCGATACTAGACAGTGAGTCATATTTCTGCCTCAGAGTCAATGGTCTAATTTTTGATTTTTTTTTTTTGGAAATCTGGGAAACCTGGAGGAACCAAATATTTTTTTATTTAGTAGGGGAAGTTTTTAGCTTCAACACACTAAAATCCTATGAAAAAATAGCTCAGGATAACGGAGCTATGATTTTTACAATCCGATACTAGACACTGAGTGATATTTCTGTCTTAAAGTCAATGGTCTAATTTTTGATTTTTTTCTGAAAATCTGGGAAACCTGGAGGAACCAGATATTTTTTTATTTAGTAGGGAAGTTTTTAGCTTCAACATACTAGGATCTTATGGAAAAATAGCTCAGGATAACGGAGCTATGATTTTTACAATCCGATACTAGACACTGAGTGATATTTCTGCCTTAGAGTCAATGGTATAATTTTTGATTTTTTTTTTTTTTGGAAATCTGGGAAACCTGGAGGAACCAGATATTTTTTTATTTATTAGGGAAGCTTCCAGCTTCAACACACTAAAATTTTATGGAAAAAAAGCCCAAAATAACGGAGCTATGATTTTTACAATCCGATAAACACACTGAGTGATATTTCTGCCTTAGAGTCAATGGTCTAATTTTTGATTTTCTTCTGGAAATCTGGGAAACGTGGAAGAACCAAATATTTTTTTATTCACTAAAGAAGCTTTCAGCTTCAACATTCTAAAATTTTATGGAAAAATAGCCCAAGATAACGCAGCTATGATTTTTACAAACCGATACTAGACACTGAGTGATATTTCTGCCTTAGAGTCAATGGTATAATTTTTGATTTTTTCTCCGGCAATATGGAAAACCTGGAAAAACCAAATATTTTTTTATTTACTTAAGAAACTTGCAGCTTCAACATTCTAAAATTTTATGGAAAAATAGCCCAGGATAACGGAGCTATGATTTTTACAATCCGATACTAGACACTGAGTGATATTTCTGCCTTAAAGTCAATGGTCTAATTTTTGATTTTTTTTCTGGAAATCAGGGAAATCTGGAGGAATCAAATATTTTTTTATTTATTAAAGAAGCTTTCAGATTCAATATACTGAAATTTTATAGAAAAATAGCCCAAAATAACGGAGCTATGATTTTTGCAATCCGATAAACACACTGAGTGATATTTCCGCCTTAGAGTCAATGATCTAATTTTTGATTTTTTTTCTGGAAATCTGGGAAATCTGGAAGAACCAAATTTTTTTTTTATTATTCATTAAAGAAGCTTGCAGCTTTAACATTCTAAAATTTTATGGAAAAATAGCCCCAAATAACAGAGCTATGATTTTTACAATCCGATAAAACACAGTAAGTGATATTTCTGTCTTAGAGTCAATGGTATAATTTTTAATTTTTTTTGGAAATTTGGAAAACCTGGAAGAACCAGATATTTTTTTATTTATTAAGGAAGCTTCCAGCTTCAACATAATGAAATTTTATGGAAAAATAGCCCAAAATAACGGAGCTAGGATTTTTACAATCCGATAAATACACTGAGTGATATTTCTGCCTTAAAGTCAATGGTCTAATTTTTGATTTTTTTTCTGGAAATCAGGGAAACCTGGAGGAATCAAATATTTTTTTTATTTATTAAAGAAGCTTTCAGCTTCAACATACTGAAATTTTAAAGAAAAATAGCCCAAAATAACGGAGCTATGATTTCTAGAATCCGATGAACACACTTAGTGATATTTTTGCCTTAGAGTCAATGGTCTAATTTTTGATTTTTTCTCCGGCAATATGGAAAACCTGGAAGAACCAAATATTTTTTTATTCACTAAAGAAGCTTGCAGCTTCAACACTCTAAAATTTTATGGAAAAATAGCTCAGGATAACGGAGCTATGATTTTTACAATCCGATACTAGACACTGATATTTCTGCCTTAGAGTCAATGGTCTAATTTTTGATTTTTTTTCTGGAAATCTGGGAAACCTGGAGGAACCAGATATTTTTTTATTTATTAGGGAAGTTTTTAGCTTCAACATACTAGGATCTTATGGAAAAATAGCTCAGGATAACGGAGCTATGATTTTTATAATCCGATACTATACACTGAGTGATATTTCTGCCTTAGAGCCAATGGTCTAATTTTTGATTTTTTTTTTGGAAATCTGGGAAACCTGGAGGAACCAGATATTTTTTTATTTATTAAAGAAGCTTTCAGCTTCAACATTCTAAAATTTTATGGAAAAATAGCCCAAGATAACGCAGCTATGATTTTTAAAATCCGATACTAGACACTGAGTGATATTTCTGCCTTAGAGTCAATGGTCTAATTTTTGATTTTTTTTTGGAAATCTGGGAAACCTGGAGGAACCAAATATTTTTTTATTTATTAGGGAAGTTTTTAGCTTCAACATACTACAATTTTATGGAAAAATAGCTCAAGATAACGAAGCCATGATTTTCACAATTCGATAGAACACACTGAGTGATATTTCTGTCTTATAGCTAATGGTCTAATTTTTTGATTTTTTTTCTAGAAACCTAGGAAAACCAAATGTTTTTTTTTATTCATTAAAGAAGTTTTCAACTTCAGCATACTAAAATTTTATAGAAAAATAGCCCAAAATATCGGAGCTATTTTTTTACAATATTAGATATTTCTACTTTAGAGTCAATGATCCAAGGCCCTGAAAAATAGAGAAGGTTACTGAAATTTTATCATAACGTCATAATATTTTAGGATAATGACAATATTAGTAGTGCGGTATATAGAATTGAATGTTCTTCTCGAACGACTGCAGTCAAAATAATATTAATAAACTTTAAGGACCAAGTATGCGGAATCCAAATGCCCTTATTAAGCTAGACTAGGGTGCAATTTCTTTTTAAACTCACCTTTTAAATTCATCCAGTCCAGACACATTATCCAACGTATAAACCACGCACATACTACTTAATAAATCACCATTTTCACTGTTATCAATTAATTCGCACAAATGCACATCACCGAATTGTCCGCGTCCGATTTTTTCGATCACCCTTAATCTTTCACTTGAGATTTGGTTAATTGGATAGTTTTCCTCTCGTTCGGTCTCCTGATAGTCGTTTTGATCGGACATTTTTTGAGGACTCAGGGGTAGAATTAAGTGGTCACGACCGGAACACCTAAAACAGAAATTAGAATTAGTCTCTAATGGATCATTTTGGTTTAATTTTTCAAATCCCTTACCTATTATTATTAACCAAACTTTGAGATATATCCACTATTGACAAAATTTGGCGAATATCTTCTCTAGTATAGTAGTTTTCTGGTGGTGGTGGAACTGGAGGTGGTTTTGGTAGATAAACATCCGCTTCATTTTGAGAATATACAAGATCGGGAATATCTAAATAAAAAAACAACCCAAGTTCATTTGTTACCCTAAATTAAAGAATTACTCTAGCCAAAATGTTTCCGCCACGAAGGGGTGGCCGCAAACAAGAAATTAATTGCCCCTAGGGCGTATATATCATTAGGTTAACTTAGCTGTTAGTTAATTTAAAGATTAAACTTATGGGCGCACTGGTTTTAATGCCAGTAAAGCTTAAGCTTGCATTATGGTGTGGCTTTGGATATTGCGCCAAGGATAATCTTTCTGTGACTTCTTTTGTATAGTGAAGACAATAAAAATTGACCTAATTCTTTAGTGATAGGTATCGGAGACTCAAAAATTAAATTTATTTGCATAATTTTCTGCCCAAAACTAGTTTTAATTTGGCGGTATCACGCCAAGCCTTATATTAGAATTATCGACTTCAATTTTGTAAGTAAAAAGTCCCAGTTTGGCAGAACTTCGTTTAATAATTATTCTCGATATTATTCGTTGTGCATGATTAGTTAGTTGATAGTTGATTATATCGGTATTATTTCTTGTACAAAATTATACATTTACCTGCATAATTTGAACCATTATTGGACATCACATGCTGGCTGTGAAAAGAAGATTCACTATCTGCATATAAAGGCTCCTTATTTTCTTCGCTAAGTGCTTCCTAGAAATAATAAATATATTCTATGAAACAGATTAGGAAGGTTTATAATGAGGAAAAGGGTTGTGTCTGTTTTATACTTATTCTTATTATAAACAAGAACATTTTTGTTGTAGAATAGGAAGCAAAATTTTTCTGGACAAGAAATAAATATTACGTAAAAAAGCGCCCTCTTCCATTTCGTCTTAATCCCCGCAACAAAACTTTTCAAAACCACCAGCGTAATCTCTTTAAATAATAATCCCTTTTGTAGTCCCTACGTATTTTTCCTTTTGCCCTTATACACAAGAGTTTTTTTTTTAGTCAGTTTGAGGATGGGATTTAGGGGTATTTATTTTTTAAGTTCCCTAAATAGGCACGGAGCTTGAATATCAACTAAAAAATGAGTGAATTAAATAAGACCTTGTGTCTTTCAAATTAATAATTAGCCTGCACAAAATTTAAATCCAAAATTACCTCAATTCCCAGCCAGACAGTATTGTTTTATCAAAAGTCCGCAATGAGACAGGGGTGAAAAGAGGTCGTCGGGCGTATTCAACTCTATTCTTTGGTTAAAATATGCTGTTCTTAAACACAACAATACACGTATTTTGCACCTTATCGTCCTCCGGAGTTGAACGTGTTAATTTCCGGCTGCGGAAGTGTAGTCACAGGTCCCAGGGACTATTTAGATAGCAAAATGGCCAGGTTAAATCAGCTATTGCTTTAGTAATCTTATCTTTAAATGTGTTAAGACGCCCTTACCGCGAGAATTTGCGTTTTGGTTTGCCAGTCTAATTGCACCATTTCGCGGGATTTTGTGGATGGCTGGTGTCATAAATGGCTACTTTTGCGATGAAATACTAGGGTTTTATGGACGGTGGAAATCTTTAACTTGCCTGTTTGTTTTGTCCAATAATTTCTTCCTCTGCAACGGGCAACGGTGTAAGAGCGTCTTTTATTCTACGATTTCGTAAAACTATGAAAGCGATTGCAGATGTCAGGGCCAATATGATGATAGTCAGAATGCCAATAACGAAGCCTATATAGTTTTTGGGTTCCGAGGCTTGATTGGGCGACGTTTTTTGATGGGGAAGTGTAGTGTCTTCTATGTGAATCACATTCCTGAAATGTTCATAAACTCTTAGCCATAATCGGTTTGTTAATTTCGATATTTATTTTTGGAACCAAAAGAGTTGAAATTTTCAAGGATAAGAATTGCTGAAAATTTCAACTTTCTATCTCTAATCGAAAAAAAGTTACATCAGTACTAAAACGATGAAATTTTTTAATGTTGAGATTTTGTGTTTAAATGATCATTTGAAACCCCCCAAACTTCATACATTAACTTATTTTGAGATTTGGAGCCGGAATCTATGAAAAAAGTCACTCAGAAAAATTGAAAAATTGATAAATCAATTTCTGGAACTATAAGTCCAAATGAGCTAAAATTTTCAGGAATTGTATTCCTATACTGGAATAAGGATTGCTGAAAATTTCAACTTTTTATCTATAATAGAAAAAATCTTTCAAAGTTTTTCATAATTTAAATCATAAAGTAGTTATCTTTTATGTCGAAATTTTATGTTTAAATTATCACTTTTGACCTCCAAACTACAGACAATAAATTGTAATATTTGAAGCAAAAATATTCTAAAAAAGCCCCTCAGAAAAATTGAAAATTTACCACTAACCTTGGTAGTGCCCCCTTAGACGCAGCCTTGACCTCGTCCCGTTGTATGGGATACTCGCGTCCACCAAAATCGGGCAACGTCGCTCCCATTTCCGTTTCCGTTTCCTGTGTAAAGTTGCCGCTAACTACGGCTGCAACATCGCCACACGGTTAAGGGTTCAATTTCGCACTTACAGATAAAATTTAAAATCAACTTACTCGAGTCGAACGAAACTTCGCTCAACAATATCCACCGGCTGGCAAAATAGAGCTGCAACTTCAAAAACTTGCCGATCCTCTGATGGAGTTTAATCGTAACGTTTCGCGAGTGCTCCATAACGAGGTCGGGCATGTAGGAAAAATGGACCGGTTCGGAGTTGAACTTGCGACCGTTGAGACTGAAAAATGTTCTCGCGTGCGAAAATACCTGCAACAACAATTCAGATAATTGAAACGTAAACTTCTATTTCCGGGAAAACGTTTTTAAAATTTATATTTAAATTGTTTTTAATTATTTTATATCATAGAATAAATAGCATGTGCTTTAGAGCCCTTGGGAGGGAGAGTGCTTTATCAACTTTTTTTAGTTATAAAAAGCTTTATTATTTCCAAGAAAATACAAAGAAGATGATTTTATGCTAGGAATTACCTTATCTTATAATAATATAAATCTACCCTAAAGAAACCAAAAGATTAAAACTTGAAATATTCCAACTTAAATTATTATTACATAGTTTGGTACATTGTTTATCACACTCAGAAATCACAGGACTTATCATTATACATATAGATAATATACTGTACAGGTTCTAGATATAAACATATATTAGGAAAATATAAATACATATTATATTATGTATTTTGTGTTATTTTAATGTTCTACAATACAAGTTAATATAATATAGTGTTTCAGTCTTTTTTTAAATAGAGTTTTACTGCGGATTGACTTCAAATCCAAAGGCAAGTGGTTGTACAATTTTATTCCCTCACAAAATATTGACTTTTGGCTAGTATTCGACTTAATTTTTAGACGATACAAATTGTACCTTTAACGAGTTTGATGGTTATGTATTTCATTTACATTGGAAAATTTGATTTGTGACCTCTCGTCTTTCATGATAATATAATGTGCGGACAATAGTATCTTAAATCTATATATATATATATATATATATATATATATATATATATATATATATATATATATATATATATATATATATATATATATATTTCATATTAAGCATTTTTTTGAGGAGTATAGCTGTTGGGTAGGGAAGCGCCTTGGCAGTGGATAAATGTTTTTGATGGCTTTATTCTGGAGGGTCTGCAATGGTTTTAATAGAGAATTTCCAGCAGTTGCCCAGACAGAAATTAAATAATGTAAATGACTTTATATGTGAGCATAATAAAGTTTCTTGCGTAAAGCTAGCCTCAAGAGGTATCCAACTCTATACAAGATTCCTACGAAGGATGCAATTTTTTTCCTTACTCGCTCTTTGTGATTTGCCCATGACAATATACTGTCTATAATGAGTCCCAAATATTTTACTGTGCACGCATTCTTTAGTGATTGAGTTCCAAACATTATGTCGTGATTGTTGTTCAAATTTATTTTAACTTAATATCATATACGATGACTTTTTAATATTGAGCGTTAATTTATGCGACATTAACCAATCATTCACCACTGCCAGATCCCTAGCAATGCCCGCTTTAATAGAATTGGTGTCCTTCCCACAATACACAATTGTTGTATCATCAGCATACAATTTGACTGTGCCACCTAAGTTCAATTTACAAATAGAGTTCACATATATCAAAAACAACGTAGGCCCCAACACTGAGTCCTGAGGCACCCCACATTCAATATCCTGCAAAGAGCTTTCAACATCATTGATGCTTACCATCTGCCTTCTATTCGCTAAATAGCTTCGAAACCAAAGCAAGGGCACACCCCTTACTCCAGCTTGTTCCATTTTAACTTAATTAAGACCATACTGTTCTACCGTGTCAAAGGCTTTTTGTAAATCAAGAGACACTAATGCGCATACTTGACCACTATCTATTTTTAACATTATAACTGAAATTAAATCTATAACTGCTGTCTTCGTGTCTCTGTCCTTGCAAAAGTCATATTGACTTCCACTCAACAATTTTTTATTATTCATAAATACCTGCAACCTTTGATTGACACATATCCCCACAATCTTGGATAACACAGGCAAAACTGACAGGTCTATAATTCGAAACTTCGCTTCTGTCACCATCCTTGAACAAAGGTCTGACTCTGGCAATCTTCAACTTGCTGGGCACTTCACCAGCTTCGAATGACAGGTCCATGATTTTCGTCAGAATCACTGCCGATTCGTGCTTGAGCTTAAGCACACTGTCGACAGTGATTCCATCAATCCCTGCAGCTTTATTTTTTTTAGCCCCTGTATTATCCCTTCCACTTCGGCTACTACCACTGGTGTCAAGAAAAATGAGCGGGCCGGTTGGTCCTCTGCTTGCGACATTGGTGCAGTATGAATGAATGTTCCTCGATAGTCTAGGTCCGATATTAACAAAGTATTCATTGAAGACATTGGCTATGTCTCGATTGTCTGTCAAGGTTTTTTCATTTTCCTTCAGCTTGGGAACTGCATTTAAAATACTATCCTTGTTATAAAGTACTTTATTTACTGTATTCCATGTTTTCCCTTCATCTCCCATGTCCCTTTCAAATTGCCTGGTGATTATTTGTTTTTTCTCCCACTTGACTTGTTTTTTTACTTTCCCATTGTAAATTTTATATTTAGCTTTATAATATTCATTGCCCACATTATTTTTAATTTTTTATAGAAATAATCCCTTTTTTTACCAGTAATAGAACCTTGTTCGTGATGTACTCTTTGCCTTCAATCTTTTTGTTTTGTTTGACTATCACTCGATTGTTGTCCATAAAAGCTCTCTCCATATCATCATGCATTCGTATAATGGTCCAGTTTTCCCATTATCTGCCTGAGACTCTCCTTTGCAGCTAGGATGTCCATCCTTCTGAACACTTGGTACCTAATCTCAGGTTTTCGTCTGCAGTATGAACTTCCAGGAATAGAAAGCACTTGTAATCTGTGGTCACTGATGCAATGGTCAATCAGTGAGAGTTTAAACTTCCCATTATTATAGTTTGTCAACATATGATCGATGAGAGATGGATTATTCGATCTTCTTGTGAATCTCAGTCTATTCAACGCTTCATATCCAAAGGATTCATTAATATATTTATATGTTTTGACTACATTACTCTCAGTCAATAGATCGATATTGACATCGCCAATTATAATGCTTTTCGAAGCAGAAACCTTATCAAAAAGGTGCTCCAACTCCCGAAGGAAAACATTTGTTTCGAAGTTTGGTAGTTTGTATACAGCAGTTAGGTTTATCTTGAATCTGTCAATATTAACAGTCACTATGGACAAATCCGAGTTATGTAGACTCGTTGTTGTAAAAGGAATAGAGTCCTCAACAAACACAGCCACACCACCTCCCTGTCTGTCTCTGCTCACATAAGTGGCTTGGTATTTTGTTATGTTAAAATATTTTTCTTCGCCTGGGGCCCAATTCTCCAGTTACGACTAAAAATCTCGCAATCGACAAATCACGCATCTGAATGTCGAACGCGAATCCTAAACTCTATTCTCGGTCGGTATGCGAATTTAAATGACGCATTCGACAATTGTCGAATGTTTAAACATGGCAACATCTAATTTTATAGTATTTGGCACGTTTTTGACAACTGTAAAGTGTCATATTTTTAGATCTTTCAAAATAAAAGTGGATTTTTTCTTGAAAAAATATAAGTTGTAGGTCCTATTTTGTACGATAAAGATTACGATTCGTGGTAAAGTAGTGGAAAATAGAAGAATATAATATTATGAAGGTCTTTAAAAAGTGAACATGCTTACATTAGTTTTATTCCTTTCACACCTAGGAGGAGCTCCGAAAGAGCTCCAGGGCGTTACGCGCTTATTCCTTTCGAAAAGTGTTTGTTGCACCACGCATCTGTTCCTTCCAAATCGGGGCCAACTAACAACGGAGCGAGTAGCTTGGGTGTTCCAAACTCTTGAAAGGAATACAACAATTGGCTTCAATAGAAATTAAAGAAGATCTAGTACTATCCTTTATATAGGGTCGCACCAACTCAATTAAGCCCCATGTTAATCCTTTAGTTAATCGACAGTTTTTCACAGAAAGGCACTGATACATAAAATTGAACGTGTTTCTATACTCATAGAATCTCCTAGGAAATCTATTATTTTCTACTGGAATCGCAAGATTTTCAATAGCCGCTAAAAACTTGATTTCTTCGTAATCAGCCATTTTTATGACAAAAATAAATAAAATTGACGATTCGTGATCTCATCCCGCGTGGTGTTACCCACTCGTAATTATGTCGATCAGAAAAAGGCGAAGGTGACATTCGAGAATTGGGTTATGCCAAAAGGTATCGAGATATGCGATTCTCGTACGCGACATTGGAAAATCGTAATTCGAGAATTGGGCCCCAGGGGTCGTATTTTCGAATATTCTCGTATACGAAATTTGATACGATTTCGAATGCTCTCCATTTAATTTACATTGCTGTCAGTCAAATTTCGTGTACGAAATATACTCGAATGGTTTCGAAAATCACACCCCTGGCTTTAGCCAGGTCTCAGTAACAACAATTATATGTATTCTACACTGAAGTTTTTTAAGAATAATTTCCACTTCCTCAAGTTTATTTTTCAGCAAGGGCGGTTTAAAGGGGGGGTAGAGGGGGTAATTACCCCCCCAGAAAAATATTTTTTAAATACATTTAATAATTATAACAAAAGACAAGTTCTACAAAGTAAAGCCTTAAAGGCATTGTATAAATTGAAAGGCTTACCAGTATCGACATACGTAGGGTAAATCGAGGAGAGATGGACCACCTTTCGAAAAACGTTCGATAGGTTCCATATTTATATTAATTGAGGTTCGCAAAAAAGTACACCGGAAACATGAACTTTGTTTATCCATTTGACATAGTTTAAACATTTTTATAAAATAAAAAAATATTAGAAAAAGATAAAAAATTAAAAATCAAAATTGGTCCATCTCTCCTAGATGGTATAGGAGAGATGAACCACCGATTTTAGGAGAGATGGACCGTGCACTAACTTATTTTTTTTTTTCCTCTTTTCATTATGGGGGCGGCACCGCAGCTTTGGCACGTGTTGACATAGGACGTGCAACCATCGTGCAGCCATCTGGAACAGAGGACGCATCTAATCCAGTCTTCTTTTTTCTTTGTAGTCCGATAGTCTTCAAGACAGCCGACGCACTGATTTTCTAAGTCATCCAAAGGTTCTTCCCACTGGATGAATCATTCAAAATTACGTCTTTTTCAGATTCTGAAGAGGT